TTAATTGTGTTCAACTGTATATAGATTTCTTTCTCATTCTTCAAAAGGGTGGGCTCAATGGAGACGAAGCCAAAGTCTCAGTCTCTGGTTGAGATTTTAAAAGACATATTCTCCATTTCAAAAAGATTGTTTTTGTTAAAAGATAAAGCTTCAAATTTTAGCAATGTTCATTTTATATATAAAAAAAACACAGATCCAGGGTAGGAAAAAACATTAAAATTGTGCACAAAATTATCCTCCCCAGTGTCATTTATATAATCATTGTGTTTATACTTTTGGCTAGTACAACCATTTGGTCATCAGATTTCCCCGGCTCATAAATACATACAAGGAAGGGCTGAAGAGATGGCTCAGTGGTTATGAGGATTTGTTGCTTTTGCAGAAGGCCAGACTCAGTTCCCAACACCTGTATGGTGTTTGAAAGCTGCCTGTAACTCCAATATCAGGGGATCTAATACCCTCTTCTGACTTCTGTGGGTACCGGGCACACGCATGAAGTACACAAACACACATGTGGACACACAAACATACATGTAGGCAACACACACACACACACATACACACACATACACACATAAAATAAAATAAATAAATCTAAAATAATTTTAGAAGCACAGGATACTGAATACAGATAGCTTTCTTTAGCATAAATGAAAAATGAGAAACAAAATATTCTCAGAAGATGCATATTTAAATGAGTAATTTAGACTCTGACAGCGATGTAATAGTCTCTTATTAGAGGTTTTCTGGGCACCATTTAATAAACATCTGTGGGATGGTTCTTAACAGGTGCCGGAATGACCTCCTACTAGTTATATTCTTACCAGTACTGGACAAAAGAGGAGAATACAGAGGGAACCCGGGTCCTCTTTCCCCTCCAGTCAACACTCTTCCCTTGTATTCCGTCAGCCTGGCCTCCAGGTTACTTGTTTACTTAAATTCTTCACAGTGAACATTGACTCAAAGTATATTTTCCTGACTGGACTATGTGCTTCTTCATCATTCAACCCTGGGAACAATGAATGTTCATTTTTCTCTAGTGACTCTCTCAGCCATACTACACATCACAATAAAGTTTGTATGTTTTGTTCCCTCACCTTGGATACCTGTCTTAGTTAGGGTTTACATTGTTGGGTTAGAATGCCATGACCAAAAACAGCTTGAAGAGGATAGGGTTTATTTCTTCCCTCATCATTGAGGGAAATCAAGGCAGGAACCTGGAGGTAGAAACTGAAGCAGAAACTATGGAGAAACACTGCCTACTGACTTGCTCTTCCTGGCTTGCTTGTTTTAGTTTCTTATGTGTCCTGGGACTACCTGACAGTAGGTGGTATTGCTACCATGGTCTGGACCCTCCTACATTAATCATTAATCAAGAAAATGCCCCCATTGGCTTACCCACAGGCTAATCTTATGGAGGCATTTTCTTAATTGGGATTACCTTCTCTCAGATGACTTCATACCCTATCACCCACTGTATAGTTATACCTTTACATCTTCTGGAAATCAGCTCAAACTACACACATACCTGCAGCTCTGTGTACACAACACTAAAACCCATTGACCACATGTGCTTTTATAGTTGTGCCTTCTATTTTCATGTGGCTCATTTCTCACTATAAGCATTTAGGGACAATTCTAGGCCTTGTTTGTTTGCATACCAGCGTTTAGCTTGATGTCCATATATAAGAATTACAAGAAAAAAATGTTGTAGGAAGAGTGGGCAATCTGGAAAGGTAATTGACACAGTTTTTTTTATAAAGTCCATCACCTTTTCTTTGGAACATAGATCTAAATTCAAAAGGACAATGTGATAATATATTGTGTATCAAATAAAGCTTACCTGAGGCTAAGAGGACAGAGCCAGACACTAGATTAAACATAGAAGCCAGGCAGTGGTGGCACACATCTTTAATTCTAGCATTTGGGAGACAGAGCTCCGTCTGGATCTCTCTGAGTTTGAGGCCACCCTGGACTACAGGAGATTGATTCAGACTGGGAGAGAAACAGAGCCAGGCAGCGGTGGCACACGCCTTTAATCCCAGTACTTGGGAGTCACACACCTCTAATCCCAGGACTTGAGATCTCATGCTTTGCTACCAGTATTTGGGAAGTACGTAAGTCATTAATCCTAGCACTAGGAAGGAAGTGATATGGCTGGGTGGAGAAAGGCATATAAGGTGGGAGGAGACAGAAACTAGAGGCCTTTTCACCTTTCAGTTGAGGGCCCAGAGGAATTCAGTCTGAGGATTTGTGGAGATGATAGGATCTCGCTCTCCTTTTGGCCTAAGGATTCAATAGTTTCTCTAGTGGCTTATTTCTTTATTTCCTCTGATCTTTCAGTGTTTAACCCAATATTTGGCTCCATTTTTTTTTATTATAAGACAATTAGGATTCCTGTTGCAACAAGACCAGATATAGATTGTTAGACATTCCTAAAGAGAATTTGGAAGAGTTTTCTTCAAAATAAAAAACAAATATTATTCAAATCCAGCACCAGTTTAGTTGTCACTGACAAGGACTGTGAGCTGGCACACAAGAGTCAAGGTCACTTGTTCCAAACCATTGGTGTTGCTTGATATTGTTTTTTAAACTGAATCAACAAATAAATATTTCAGTTGATTTCTTATTTTTTACTTTGTTGGGTGTGTTAAGGGCAGAGTCATTAAGGTATAAAAGATTGGCACTCCAAAGTATAATCTGCAGAGCATTGAAGCAATTTACAAAATTTCTGCCCTGTGTCAGGGAGCTGGAAGCAGGAGAGAGGGTGAGTGCACCTTCAAATGAAGACATAGCTGACAGAAGAGGAGAACAGCACCAGCGGACAACGTCTACATTTCCAGCACCTAGCGTAGGGCTGGATACTCGGTAGCTGCCATGGTGTTGTTGAATAATTGAATGACTGAGTGAATGAGCAAGCCAGGCAGACAGAAGGAGGGGGATAGAGAGAAGCTATATTTGGGTGAGTTTCAGGAGGAGATCACAGACTGAAGAGTGGTTTTGTCTGATCACAAATAAAAGGCAGAGAAGTGTATGAAGCGGTAGAGGTTTTTTGTTTTTGTTTTTCAAAAGCCTGTGTGCATGTAATTTGCCATAAAATAACCAATTTTAAATGTGCATTTTGATGGTGTTTCATTCAATTTAGAACTTTTCAGTCAAAACCCCCACCTAATGTTAGAATATTTTCACCATTTCAGCAAACTCCCTCGTACCTACATCTGCCCATCCTTCCTCCTATCATCAGCTTCAGGCAAGCAGAGATGTGTCCTCTGCATCTGTACCTTCGCCTTGTCCAGAAATCCTGGCAAATTTAACTATAATACTTTAGTCTTTGGTTTGTAGCTTTTTGTTTGGCTGAGTCTAACATTTCAGAGGGTTTGTGCTACCCAGACCTAGGATTCATTCTACTTCTGTTGACAGGCATTTGAGCCGCGCTATTACCTCCAAATAATTTTAATCACACAATGTTGTGGTTGGGCAGTGAAATGTCCCCTATAGGCTCATATATTTGACTACATTGTCACCAGCAGCAGGCTCTGTGTCGGGAGGTTGTGGAATCGTCTGGACATGGGCTCTTCTTAGCTAGCAGAACTAGGTGGCAGGGGCTCCTTCTTAAAATCTTGAAGTTGGTGTTTACTCAGGAGCCAGCCCAAGCTTTGGGCTTCTTCATATGCAAATGTGTAAATAACCCATGTGGTTATCTCCTATCACAACGGACAGAGCAGCCATGGTTACCATGCCTTTCCTACCACAGACACAGTGGCCATGAATAACTTGTATCTTTGTCAAGATAGATGGACAGATAGATATCCAATGATGTTTAGAAGTAAAATGAACTTCTCATAAGTTATCAAGCATTTGTTCACAGCAAAAAGAGCAATACAAACGATAACATAGTCTAAATTATATTAAATTTTATTTACTTCTATGGAAAAGATACATTATTACTCTTCTATATAACCAAATGTTCATCTACAACAGTTTTAGCAATTACAAGTGCTAATTTACATGTGTGGCTGACCAAAAAAAAAAAAAAAAGATGACCTTGTTTCATCACTACAAAAAAATTGCCTTAAATATTATGATATTGCCTTTATTCTCACCTAAAAGAGTCTTTCTTTCAGCTTAAATAACCATCCAATGAAGTTGCTGTTGAACACTCAATGTACAGCCTGGGCCAGATTTGAAACAATGTGAGAATGATCAACTTTTAAACTACTAAGAAATAGGGATTGCTGGCTTGGCTCATAGCTCTGAAACCCGTACGCATCTCTGCAAGAACAGTTTATGTTTTCCAGGCTTGGGAATATCTTAGTGATAAGAAAATAAAAATGTTGTCAGACCACAGTGTTAAAGGCTTCCTGGGTAAAACAGCTGCCTTTGCTTTGCGACTGGGTTCTTGCATTCCATGTCCTAGATGCACAGAAGTAGACAGAAGGGCTGAAAACCTAAGCCAAAGAAACAAATGAAGGCAAGCGCTTGGTAGCTCTACTCCAAGAATTTCCTATTTATTTTTAAAAAAATTATTTATTTTGTGTGTATGAGTGTTTTGTTTGCATGTGTGTATGTATACCAAGGGTTTGCCTGGTGCATGCAGAGCCCAGAAGAGGGTGCCAGATGCCTTAGAACTGGAGTTACATTTGTGAGTCACCTTGTGAGAGCTGGGAACCAAAATCAGGTCCTCTGTAAGAGCTGCAAGTACTTTCAACTAAGTCTTTAGGCCCTCTAGGACCTTTAAAAACTATACTATTTTAATTTATTCTTTGGGAATTTCTTAGATGTATACAATGTATTTGGATCACACTCATTTTCCATCCTTATTCTAATTCATCCCTGCTTCTGTCCACATGTCTTTTTAGTTTTATTATTATTATTATTATTATTATTATTATTGTTGTTTGTTTTCAAGACTGGGTTTCTTTAGAAACAGTCATAGTTGTCCTGGAACTCACTCTGTAGACCAAGCTGGCCTCAAACTCACAGAGATCTGCCTGCCTCTTTCTCCCAAGTGCTAGGATTAAAGGCGTGCGCCAATACTGCTTGGCAATCTTTTTTATTTTTAAAATTAAAAAAAAAAGAATGCAATGTGTCTAATTAGTACGGCCCATATACACATGGGTATCCACTGAAGCATGCAACATACCGGGGACCACACCCTGAAGAAAACTGTTATTTCCCCACTAGAAACTCTTAATTTAAATAGCCCACCCCTATCCATGTTGAAATGCGGACTGGTTTACTCTTGTGTGTACAGACAGTCACAGCTGCTGGGAGTTCGTGAACACACCGTCATTTCATGTCCCGGATATGCTGTTCTACATTGGTCCTCCTCGAATGGGGTCCCGGAAAATCCTTCTGCCCCCTCTTCTATGATCCTTGAACCTTGCGGGGAAAGAGGTGTGATACAGAAGTCCCATTTATAGTTGAGCATTCTACAGACTCTTGTTCTCTGCACTTGGACCGGTTGCGAGTGTTTTCCCTGCTGTCCGCACCTTTCTTTTTAGAAAACTCTTCTATAGCATGTAGGGGAGACGCGGCTGAGAGGGGAGGTCTGAGCTGCTCAGTCCACACCTCCTGGTGACCAGCAAAACGGAGAGTAGCGTTTGTGTTCTTCATAGCAGCTTCCATCTAAAGATGGTCATCTGTCACATACTAGGTTTCCTCAGAAGGCGTGTTTGGTTTTGTAGTTGCGCTTACCTTCCATTTCTTCTCTGAGAAACAAAAGGGACCTATATGATAAAGCTTCTGGAGGGTACATTTTTCATAGACGCACAGATTTCTCCTTAACAAGTTGGGAACAATGTCTTTCATCTTCAAAATACTTTAAGGTGAGTGAGTCAGTGAGAAGAAGGGAATCACCATTGTACAAAGTGGAACTCCTTTATATATAAAAACAAAATGGACTACAATATATATTATACAAAACAAAGCCTTTGCTATTTATAAAGTTATGCATCTAGAGTCAAAATCAACATGATGACTGTCGTAACTATAGAAAAGTGAAAATAACAGCTTAAAGGCATGGTAGTTAACCTTAACTGTAAACATCTCCAAGAATTCTTGGACAGAGAAGTATTATGTTAGTTGCTTCTAAGTATTCTGCTTCTTTGTCTATACCTGGCTGTATTTAGAACACTGACATTGAATGTTTTCAATGGTCTAAACTCTCTAGGGCCACAGGTAAGACAGATATATTGTTTCTTAAAGGGACACTGGGAAACATACTTTTAGCATCTATTTCTCAGGTAATTTCCATGACTGCCAAATTATTTTCAGTTACTTAAGAAAAAAAATAGTCTAACCAATTTTAAAATTACAGCTACATATCCAGTGAATGAACACATCTAGTCAGTCCAGGCTTGACCAGTGATATATGTGAGGAATGAGGATGGTGTTGTTAAATATAATAAAAGAACAGAGATGGCCCATTCAAAAAGGATGCAGACAAATATTTCATAATTCAAGAATGAGGTTCATTATATGAGATCAGGTACTAAGGTGGTATGACCTGTAGATGAATTTCTAAATGGTCTTATTAAATAAAAAAAAAAAAAAAACACAGAGCCAAATATAGGGGTGAAAGCCTTAGAGAAAGATCAGAGGAATAGGACAAAGCATGAACTAACCTCACCTCACCAACTCTGCAGCTTCCAAAAAAAGAGAGCTTCTTGTAAACTCATGTTTATATGCCTTCTTTTCTGTTCTGTTCTCTCATTGGCTATCTTAGCCCAGCTACCTTACTTTATTTTCCTACGCAGCTCTGTCACTTTCTGTCTGTCTGCACAGGTCTCCAGACTTCTATGGTTGGTACTGGGATTAAAGGCGTGTGTTACCACGCTCGGCTCTGTTCCCTAGTGTGGCCTTGAACACACAGAGACCCTGCCTGCTGAGTGATAGGATTAAGGGCGTGTGCTACTGCTGCCTGACTTCTTTGTTTACTTATAATGGCTTGCTATTTCCTCTGATCTCCAGGCAAGCTTTATTTATTAAAGCACTTTAAAGATATTAAAGATATTTATTATAAGACATCACCATATTTCAGCACAAATAAAATATCACCACAATGACCACAGATAAGAATGGAGTTTATTAGGATGGAAGGGCCTCAAGGTCATAAATGAACCTTCTTGTAGGGATAGAGTACTAGATATACACACACACAAATGGAGATCTAATCCTGATGGGCTCTTAAGGGAAGGGGAAACTCCCCTGTAAGCCTGGAGGGGAATGTAGTGCTTGACTATAGTTAGGTAGGTTGCTTGTTTCTGATTGTGCTGGCAAAATTATTAAAAAAAAAAAAAGACTAGGTTAAAAACATAAAGTGAGTTTTTCTTCCTTCCTTCCTTCCTCCCTCCCTCCCTCCCTCCCTCCCTCCCTCCCTCTCTCTCTCTTTCTTTCTTTCTCTCTCTCCTTTTTTTCTTCCTTTTCTTCCTTTCTTTGATGCAGAGTCCCACTCTGTAGCTCAGGCTGGCTTCAGGCACGTTTTTGGACAAGGGCAGAAAGAAGCCATATTCTTCTCCAAAATATCACAAGAATGGACTCCAGGCCACAACATTCTTCTCATTTGCAACCTCATGAGCCAGACCCTCACAGTTCAAATCACCCTCAGCACCACTGTCTTCCATGCCCCTGCTAGTATGACCAATTAAGCCCCACTTAAAGTACCCAGTTGCTTTTCTAGTCCAAAGTCCCAAAGTGTTCCATATTCTTCCAAACAAAAGCATGGCCAGCCCTATCACAGCAATACCCCAGTCCCTGGTACCAACTTCTTTCTTAGGGTTTCTGTTGCTGTGAAGAGGCACCATGACCATGGCAACTCTTATAAAGGAAAACATTTCATTGGAGATGGCTTATAGATTCAGAAGTTTAGTCCATTATCATCATGGCAGGAAGCATGGCTCCATGCAGGCATATATGGTGCTGGAGGAGGAGCCAAGAGTTCTACATCTGGACCAGCAGGCAGCAGGAAGTGAGAAACACTGGGCCTGGCTTGAGCATTTGAAACCCCAGAACCCATCCCTAGTGATACACTTCCTCCAACAATGCTACACCTACTCCAACGAGCTCATTCATCCTAATGCCAAGCATTCAAACATGTGAGCCTATTGGGGCCAGTCTTATTCAAACCACTCAAAGAGCTTCATTAAATATGGGCATAAGTAAGAGAGAGACTGAGAGAAGAGAAGGGGGGACTCCTTCCCCTGAGATGTGATATAAATATGAAATATCTATTTCAAAATAGAAATATGTGCTGGCAACTTTTCTCATCACTGTGACAATTTACCAAACGGAAAGACTTTAAAGGAAGCATAATTTATTTTGGAGCATGGTTTTATAGAGTTCCATCATCAAGGCAGGGTGTGTGTGTGTGTGTGTGTGTGTGTGTGTGTGTGTGTGTGTGTGTGTGTGAGAACAGGGTAGCTCACATCAGGGCAGACAGAAAGTAGAGGAAAGGGAATTCCAGGCCCTCCACTTGCTTTCTCCCTTTGTCCTTTTTGTTCTGTCCAGGTCCCCAGACCATGGAAGATGATGTTCACATCCAGGGTAGGTCTTCCTTCCTCATTTAGTCTTCTCCAGAAAGTCCCCAGAGATAATACCCAGAGCTGTGCCTTACCAGTCTCCTAGGTCATTCTAACTCCAGTGAATATGTCAGTGAAGGTGAACCATCACAAAATTGGGTCTGAAGGATTGCTGACAGGTTTAAGGCTGCAAACATAATCCTAGAAATCACTAAGGAGCCCTTGATCTATCTTTATATGATGGCCCTGGAGTCGTTCCTCACTTAAGTTCCAACTGAGAAATGCCTAGGCAGGTGCAAGCATTTTTCAGGGGAAAACATGCTGTGAGTTTTATAAAACCAAAAAGTGGTCAGAAAGGAGATTACTGTCCCCATTTTACAGATAAGGAAAATGAACCCCAAAGAGGTTAAATGAGGTATTAGAGGTCACATTATATTTAACATCAATATTAGGATTAGAACCCTGCTCTGCTGGGTTTTCAACCCCATGTTCTATCTGCTATGCATTGTCGGATAGCCTGAAAGGTTATCACAATACAGAGAACATAATTCAGCAGTAGATTGATTAACCCAAGGGGGAATCCAATCAACACTAGTGGATAGCGAGGAGAAGCACTTTTCTTTCTACATTGATGTTTTTACCAGAACGCACAATATCTCCCATCTGGATCAGAATCAGCATTCCAAATACCAGAACAAGCTAAATTACTCTTTCCTTTCTGTCGTCGCATCTGTCTTTTGGGGGTGGTTATATATGCTGCTAGCATTTTTAGCTGGCAGCTTGGAGTAAATCTCCTTATTGTTCTGCTTTTTGTGGGCAGTCCCAGCACCTCTCTGGATGTGCAATGGTGGATGATAAATCTAATAAAAGAGTAAATAGTCACATGACTCAAAATGAAAGTGCTAATGCAAACCCAAAGGCAGCTTAGAATTTCTGGAGGTCATTTGCCACTCAGGAGGGTAAATTTGCTGGCAAGAATTCCTCCTTTGAGTGGAATGCTGGCTCACATTCAGGAAATAGCATTTTAAGTGTGGCCTTGCTGACTTGAACTGAGAACTTGTTTTACTTAATCCTGAGGGAGTCAAGATATAGGTAAAAACCAGGGAGGTGATTTTTTTTTCTGTAGGAATATGAAATACATGTGTTCCTTTTGTTTTTATGATGGTCTCAATTTAAAGCTATCCATCAATTACAAATTTATTTTATTTTGCCATGATGCCCTTTAATTTTTTTCCATATTCATCTTTTCTTTGTGAGGACATAAAGCTGAGTAATAATTTTGTATTAATTGGAATGCACTCAATGCACTTAGCAGAAGTGTCTGTATTTTCCATTTGTTATAACAACATTTTTTTTCACTAACTGTAAAAGGCACCACCACTGCTTTCCTCCTTTTATATTTGAAAGCACTATATAGTCTACATTTTTGAATTTGTTACTGCATCTGACTCTTACAATACCTTACGAAGTAGACCTTACAAGACATCATTTTCCATTGTGAACTCAGGGATGAGAGTGTACTTTTGCTTTGAGAGAAATTTTATTTTGATTTATTGCACAGTCTGCTAGTATGAAAATGGCTGGAGTGGTCTTTTATTCCAACATCCTAACTTCAAGTGGCTTTCCAGACATTTTAATAATATCAAAATTTAAACAATGTCTCCCAGTTTTTAAAGTCTAGGTAGAAGAGGAAGAATAATAAAAAAAATTATTTAGGGTAAAATTGAGTAAATTCCATATTTTTATCAGTTCTCTGCATTATTGACCATTTTCTTTCTAATTTTTAGATTATGCAAAGTAGATTCAAGTTTATTTCACTTCAAAATGATTTTTAAACAGCTGTTATCTTTTGGGGATTTGCAGTGATTTTAGGTGAATATCATCAGAAAAGTGGATATTTCTACAATCTTTGACCTGTCTCTTTAAGATGTGCAACAAGGATGAGGAGCAAAGAATCTGCAATATTCTTTATAATTTCATGGGGTCTTCTGAGGAAATGTGCCAATTTTATGGGGACTCGTAGGGAAAAATTTTGATTTCATGTGGATTCGAGTGAAAAGGTAAATTTCATGGGATTTCTAAAAATGGCTGGATTTCTCAGGATCCATGAAATCTATGACAGCCATGGAGAAAATGGGCTGCTCCTGTCATGGAGTAAATTTCAGTGCACTTTGGCCAAAAAATTTATTTCT